ACATGGCGTTTGGAAGCATACAGTTCACAGAGTACCCTGAATACAATAGTGTCAATAAAGCTTGTCTGTAAAATATGTGATACTTTGCCTATCAAAGGGCATCTACAGCATTTGCTGCCTTCTTAGTCTTGATTTATATTGACAGTTCCCTCCAAATGTCATGTGTTTCATAGAGGCTTAGTTGCTTTGGAGAAGTGCTTCGATCATGAAAACTCTGAACCTGTCAATGAATTAATCCATTGATGGGATCATACGTCGATGAGCTGTTAGAAAGAGATGCAAATCTAGAAGATAAAAATAGCTAATAGGAGTGAGTTCTTGAGGTTATATCTATAAAGGTTTTGCTTTTTTTGTGATTTCTAAATTTATACTAGAAACAAGCTTGTTTTACATGTCAATCCCAATTCGCTCTCCCTCCCCTCCTCCCTTGCTCCCCACTAGCCTCCTATCTCATCCCCTTTCTGCTCCCCAGGGAGGGAGAAGACTTCCATGGGGGGATCTTCAAAGTCTGTCATATCATTTGGAGCAGGGCCTAGGTCTCCCCCGTGTGTCTGGGCTGAGAGTATCCCTCTATGTGGAATGGGCTCCCAAAGTCCATTCATATACTAGGGATAAATGCTGTTCTACTATAAGAGATTTTGCTTTATCACTAGTATCACTAGTTCTGTCATTTTGTTCTCTGTCTTCTATCAAACATCAGGTAAGCTGATAGGACTCCATACATGGTCCCTGTCCTAATGCTTTGTCTAAACAGAGAGGTCCACAGGCAATAGAACCAAGTGACCAGAGATCCTCTGAAACTGTGAGCCAGAATAAAATTCTTCCACTTTTAAGGTTTTCATTTCCCCTCAGGCATTTTATCAGAGTTGATTAACATACACCTTTTATAAGAATGGTCTAGTGAAAATTATTACCTACGGTACATACTTATAACACTTTGGTCATATGTACACCTCTCCTTTACCCTTTTATATCCCCCTTTTTTCTTCTTCTGTTCTCCTTCCAGCTCCCTAACAGAGTGAACAGCTCTCAATGCACGCAGATTATACATTATCTAAGAAAAATGTCTCTTGAGACAACTAATGCTGCATGAGAATAAAATAATTCTTTATAAATATGACCTGTATTAGGAAGGTATTGGAAAAGGATGGTAGAGAGGGGATTAGAGAATTAACAAGTGTAAAGAAGAAAAGTTAACCACACTTCACCTTCTGTTCTCAATGCAAGTTTTCAGCCCCAAATGTATCTGAGCTGGGTCCAAGGTAACACATCTAGAGTCTTTAGCTATTTGGATGACATATACATTTGTGATTTGAATGCACTGTAGCACATTAAAAAACCTTACAATATGCTAAAATATGCTGAGAATTTCTTGGCTATGCTATTATCCATACTTGTACAATAGTGAGTTAATCATGATAGAAGAAGTGTGGACATTTCTAAACATAGTGAATCACAACAGAAAACTTGAGATGGAAATAACACATTATCTAGTTGGAGTATAGAATGCTCTGAGCTCATCCACCCAGGATGAGATTAGGAATCAACATAATTTTCTTTTCACATTTATCAGGCAACTGCTTCTTGTTTTACTTAGGGAAATGTGCCTCAATCACCGTAAAAATTTTAAGAAACATATGAGAAGCCTTTCTGCCTTAGTCATAAATGTTCTACTCAGATTGTAAACCATGAAATTCATATTCAGTTTGAGCTTGCTATATTTATAGAATGAGATATTGCATACAGAAGCAATATATATATATAAATCACACATGTTTTACTTTAGAAAGTTTTTAACTTTAAGAAAAGGTTTTATTCCCGATTTTAGTTAAAATGCTAGAGTAATGATGGCATGAATGTTTTGGGAGTAGCCACTCACTTATCTGTTTGGTTTAAGGTCCACTTCATGAGACACTGATAATGATAAAAGGGCTGAGAACCCGAGACTAGATAGATCATGAGCACAGGGGAAAACCTAATACTATTATTCTGCTAAAGGAATATAGCAATAAAATATCTCTTAATGATACATTTATACCTATAGGTAAGTGCTTTGTTCAAGTGCTTGTCACTGAAGCTTCTTCCTGTAGTAAATGGAAATTAACACAGAGACCCAAAACTGGACAAAGTGTAGAGAGTAAAAGATGTTGAAACACTCAATTCTGTATTGGTCTTCGTCAAACCTCTATGCGCAAGACTCAGGGATCTATGTAGAAAAGGAGGCAGAAGATTCTAAGAACCAAGGAAATAGTATCTTCCAGACACAGCAGGGCTGATGTACATCATGAGCTCTCAGAGACCGTGGCAGCACCCATAGGAACTAAACTGTACTGAGAGGACCATGTGGATGTGGATCTCCATGTTTAACCAAGAAAATATATGCAATTGATACCCACTAGCAAAAGGAAGACCAGTTTTACCAACGGAGTGTCATTGGGTATTTAAGCCACATTCCAGAGCAGCCTCATGCCTAGAAGTAGTTGCCCAACACAAAACTAATTTCATATTTATTTATTTGTGTATGTATTTATTTATTGTGTTATTGTAGGTGTTTCATTTATGTTCGTTTGGAATTTTTATTTTGTCTTATTTGTTTGTGGTGTTTTGATTTTCTTTTTTTTTTGTGATGCAGGGCATGAAGTTGGGCTGACAGGAAGGTGGGAAGAAATTGAGAGGAGTTGAGGAAGGGGGTAAATATGATCAAAATATTCTGTATGAGAAACATTTATATAAAAAAGAAAAGATCAAACAAAGAGTTTAGAAATGTTTCAGAAGTTTTATTCCTCTTTGAAGCCTACTCTCTTCTGTGTGTAGACACAGGTTTAAATGCTGATTTTTAAGAACAATACACACTTGATCTCCCTATAAGTTCACATTTAGTTAGAGATAATAATAAAATGAAGTACATCAAGAATTCTGTATTTTGCCTCATCTGTGATACAGGCAAACTGAGACCCTATAGAGGTCTTCACATTCAGAAGACTAGAGAATATCTGATTAAAAAGAATTAGGGAAATAAAATATTTTTTATTAAACTTCTTTTCTTGCCCTTGGACAGAAGATAGTTTTCTGGAATTAATGTAGTATTCTCCCCAGATTAACCTAGTATTCATTAGAATATTCAATGAGGTTAAATGCAATTTAAATTTGCTGAGTATTTGAATGTCACTATTGAGAAGTCCCACTGGTAAGATAGTATGATTATGAAAATATACATTTCATAAAAATCAAAGGAAGGAAAAAGAAATTGTATACCAAATAAATAATTTTTAAGGTTTTACTTAATCCATGTTACTTGTGTAAGAGTTGGGAAGTTTCCTTTGTAATGATGAAAACTAGAGGCAGGATAGGGCTAGGGTATAATGCTGTACTTTCACTCCTTTCTGGAGAATGCCTGAAAAGCACAGACATTTTGGTTGTCCTATTATTCAGTGTTATCAAATACTCTACTCTGAAAACTAGATTGGACTCATTAAATCCTCAAGTAAACTTGTTTTTTTGATAAAACAATATACTAAGGTATTCACTATTGGATCTGTGACACTTCAGGCTAAGTGTTGCAATATTTTCATGTCAATCTTACAACAAAATTTGACAGACTGTTTCACACTTCCTTGATAACAAAATTATTTTAAAGACAAACACAAATAAATGAGAAACAAATACTGTTGACTGTATACTTTTTTCCCCTTGTTTCTTTCATTTTTAAACAGTTGGTGTATAAAAGATGACAGACTCTATAAAGGATGACAGACTCTGGCTTCTCGACATAAGAAGCCTCTGAAAGGATCTCATTTTGTCACTACTAATAATAAATTCAGGATTATTCAGTCTAGCCTTTTTTTAATTCCATGGAGAAGCACTGTGGTAGTTTTATTGGTACTACTTCATTTATCATGATGCAAAAAGTGATGGTTTTAACGCATCTCACAGTTACTGACTGTACTCTGGCCAACAATTCAGCAAAGGGCATGAGCCATAGTGTTTTGGTTTACAATATAATAATTTACGTTTTTTAAAAAAGTAAAATTTTGTCAAGGACTATATTTCTAACTGTTTGTACTGAGCTGGGATCACTAAAATCACTACAATAATGCACAAAGCCACCACACATTAATTTCAATGGACACAATTGTGTTTCACTCACATAATTATCCGTCATGTACAAAGGGTCTTCTTGGTTCTATGGATGTTTCTATTAGCCTGAAAGACATCATTGTTCATCTCTACCCCACCCAATACCATATTTCGTTACTATCACACAAAGAACATAAATTCTCCTTGAGGTCCTCCTAACCTCTGTTTCCTCCTTCAATACTGGGGTACATACACCTTTAATATATTAGCTGGGAGCTATTACACCAGTATCCCTATTGTTGCTATTTTAGGAGCTTATATTTTGTCCTAGTCCCTCAAATAAGTTTTCTTTTATGACTTTTACAAGTCTTTACTTCTTGAAACCTTACCCAACAGAGTATGCATGTCTTTATATATTTCCTAATAACTTCAGTGAAAAAAATACTTGAAAATAGTTTTTAAATTTTTACACCTATCTTTTATGTTTTTCTAACCACATTATGTAATTATCACTATATTTTATATTCAGCATATGTAAGTAGAACCTTTTAAGTATGAGAACCTATCTAAATCTCTACACATCAAAATGTAAAGCCTTTTATAAATGTGATTCCATAAACAGTGACAAATCATAACTTTGATAAATTCATTAAATTTCTAAATTGACATATACTCTATGTGTATTTTATGTTTTATATATTAATCATGTTTTACTGACAACATAAGTTCAAGTCAATACAGTATTGTAAGTTCATTGTAAATTTCTATCATGCAAATTAGGATTTAAGATTCTCAGTTCTATTTCTGATACATACCTAATTTTTATAAATATTTTCTCAATATCTGTCATACAAAGTGAATATCTGAGAAAATATTTTTAAATTAAACATGACAGTATTTGCTTCCTCTGCAAACAAACTTACCTCTCACAATGATGTTGGTAGACTTTTTTGCAGGGTTTCCCACATTATTATTGGCAATGCAGCTGTAAGTACCAGCATCATCTGATGTGATGGCAGGTATGGTTAATGTCCCTCCATTCAAAACAATCTTTTCAGGCAGAGTCCCAAAGGATCTGACCCAGGTGAGGGAGGGCATAGGCTCTCCTCCTGTTGTCACACACACTAATGTTATGGCCTCTCCAGGATTCACAACTATAGGATCATCCACCAAAAGTTTAATTGACGGGGATGCTAAAAGACACAAACAGAAGACATACATTCAGTGAGACATGCTGCAACTTGGAATCAACAGCAGGTTCTGCACTCAATCATTTGAGCAATTACGATTATTGTTCTTTGTATCAAGATCAGAATGTGTTACTCAAACTTTAGCCAGGTGTGATACTTCTTTAATTCACTTAAGCAGTATAAATGTATGAATAATTGTTAAATGTTTTACACTTGAGATGGTATTTTGAGGCTAAAAGTTCAGTATTGAACGTTTCACTCATGGAAATATCTTCATATTTAGGAAATTAATCAAACCCATCAGTTTCGGGAAACTCATGAAACTCACAACAATCTTGAAGCTTCTTTTGAAGCTTCACAGGATCCCTTCCCAATCTCTGAAGGGAGGGGAAACTCTCTTCATTTTTACTGCCTGGAATCTGTGCAGAAAGCTGCATCAATTCAGTTCTCAGCAGTAGTCACCCACACTGGGTCTGGCTTTCAGTTATGCAGCTGTTTGTACATCACCTGTGTCTCTGTAAATCACAGAAAATGTGTGGCTGCTTAGCTAGCCTTGAATAATTTCGATGGGCTGTTGTCAGTGCTCTAACTGTGGTGACTAGACATTTGTTTATGGCGCCCTAGGAAAAGTCCCACAAGAAGGCACAAAAATTGGTTCCCTGAATTATTGTTCTGATGTTAGTATAACAAAAGTTGGTAAAGTTGTCAAACACAGCATCCATGTCTCATTAGTGATATACTACTTTTCTCTCTTTCATGCATATTTCTTGGTGTTTTCATCATGTGTATGGTCAATTCTTTCACTTGTAGACCAATCAAGGATGAAGCGATTGATTTTTCAAACTGAATTTAACCAAGTAATGGATATCAGAAATCATCACAAACCTAATTACACAGCAAGCCCTAACAGCTCTTCTTGAGGTGTAGACTCACAACCTGTGTTCATATGTATTCAATGTGTGTGACCAAGGAGGTCCCTTTGTCAGGAAGGTTTAGGTTGTGAGATCTCACAAACACAGGTTTGAAATTCAGAAAGAAACAATCCAAATGTCCCAGGAGAAATACTGAAACTACCTCTTCTTTTATGGCTTAATTGTGAAATTTCTGTAGTGAAAATAAGTCTTTTGAAATCCTCAAGCTAAAAATAGAAAGATGAACATTTATTCAATTAAAAACAATCACCTTTATACCAAACACTCAAAATAGAAGCTATATAGCGAACACAAAACATTATATTCATACAGGACACTTCCTATTTATAGTACAGTGTATGCACATACAAATAGAAGTAGGAACAGGCATTTTACTGATGTTCAAGTTCATATGTTCATGAACAATTTATGACAAACTGAAAGCTATATTATATGTAATATATTATATATGTAAAGAGAGAGATTTATATTGTTCAACACTATTGTCCTAACTTAAAATTATTAAGCTTAGCTTAGAAATGCAGTTTAGAATTAAAACTCATTAGGTTTTGTGTTTTAATAAAATCCATCTTGCCATAAAAAGAAAGCAAGGGGAAAATATGACAGTAAGTTCATGCTAAGGATTCATGAGAGAGACAGGGAGTCTCAATGGCATTTTCAACATCCTTGTTGCCTCCTGGTTTTTCTAACATCATTAAAATATCATGGGAATTTTCAAAATGTCACAACATCAACCCCTCTGATGTGCTGACATTAAAGTATAAAGATTTATTATTAAAAAGATGTTGAGAAACACACAAAGTAAAGGTGATATGCAAAAGTCAACACAGTTGGGGAAAAAGTAAAGTGTATCAAAGAATAATTAAATATTAAATGAATGAATGGAAGACATAACTAATTAAAGCTTCTAAAATATGTATTATACTTAATTATTAATGTATCACTATCAAGAGGCAAAAGGAATACTTGCTGAGGTAAATAGCCTAAACCTAGAATATTTTAGCTAAAATAAAATTATAGAAATCCTAACATTTATTTCATATTAACAATGTTGAATGTGTTTTACATCCCATTTAAGTTAAACTAAAAGAAACCAAGTCAAAGTTTACTAAGGTATATTAGGACTACAGAAATACATTAAATAGAATATTTGCCTATAGGCTAACATTTCTGAAACTTTACTAATATTCAAATGTTTTTGTTATATAAATCTCAAGAAAACTACAGGGTGAAACTTTTGACATATGCATTAGCATATAACATTGAGTGAACTATCTTTGTTCATGAGGCTCTGTTTAAGAATTACATTTAATTCTTAGAACATAAATAGAATCTCCAAGAGAGGATATCACAACATAGAAAATCATTTAAGATAGGAAAATTAATATTTTACTGTCAATTTTTAAAGATTTTGAGATGGACTGGATCATTTGTTAATTAGGGATGAGGTTCTGCCTTTCATAAGCCAAATGTTGAACTCTTCATCATTAGAGACTTAACTTCCTGAGGTCTGAGATTACAAGCATTATCACTATACATGACTATAGTTTCAAAAATCACATGTCAATATGTATACATGTGTATATGGTGTGTGTGTGTGTGTGTGTGTGTGTGTTTTGTAAGTCAATAAATGTGTGTATGGACAATGACACCAATAGAAAGCCCAGAGGACAACCTGAGGAAATTATTTCTCTCCTTCTCTCCTTTTATCTCGTGAGACCTGAGAATTGAACTCAGGTTGGTGGCAAGTGCTTTTCCTTGCTGAACTATGCCTCTAGCCCTAGTGTTTTCATTTCTTCATCTTTTTGTGTCCTTTTTGTGGCTGAGACCTATGAGACTTTAGACACACATCTGATTGGGCCAATGGGACATGAAGAAACAAGAGACAAACTCACAGAAGAGCTAAATTGAATGAGTTGTGCTCTCCAATGGAGATGCACCAGTGGCAACACGGAAAGCCAGTGTGTTTGTTATCCAAAGCATGCAAGAAGAGAAGGCCGGGCCATCACGCAGTAGGAGAAGTTGTGATTGATAGCTTCAGCATTCAGTGGTTTTAGCTAAAGGTCAAATATTATTAACCAACACCCACACTTACACAAGGAAAAGGCTTTGCTATTTTTCTAAGCCAGACCTGGGGAAGGATTTTCCATTCCAATGGGTCTGACACTGGGTTCCTTGACATTGGTTCATCTCAAGAATACCCATTCAGCCAAAACTTCATTAGTTCTCCACATGCTGCTTAATATTTCCCAAATTATAAATGAAGTGCTTCAACCGTAATGCAGTCCTACCATTGACTTTTCTGGAGTATGGCATGACAGTTACACAGATACCTGACTGAATTTGGGCAAGTTCTTTCACTTCTGGGTAACTCTTGATATTGTTAAAGCAGAGGACACAACTACTTTTTGATGGATATTATAAATATAAAGTCCTTATTTTAGTACTTATTACAAAAGATCCACTAATTAGTACTTTCTGTTGCCATTCATTCTATTTCCACACCGTAGGTTTAGTCGCAGTCTGACACATAGTGTGGGTGCTAAGAGACAAAATGTCTATAAGCTGTCATTGTTTTGATTACATGTGGCAGGGGTATTTTAAGATCATTTTGAGTTTTTGAGGATCCTGAACCATGGCACACAAGACATTAGAGTTATTTACTTTGAGAAACATGAACCTGTATTACTCTCATTTAACAATATTGTTATTAGTGAATTAAACTCACTCTATTTTAATACTCATTTTCATTGAACTCATTTTTGTTTTTTTTTCTTTTTGCTGTTGTTTATTTTTATTTTTTGCTGTTGTTTTTTTAAAAGTTCAGAGTTTTCATGTTTGTCTTGCAGACATGTGCTGTTCTTCAGCACTATCCTGTACTTGCCCCACTACCTGGAGGTCATGCATCATGAGCATTCTCTCCTGTGTTTATGTGAGTATCCAGGAAATGAAGACAGATAAAACCCACTGAACCTGAGTGTTAAGTATAAGTTACTATGTGTATTGGTTGAGGCAACCACCAAAACACACATCCATATCTAGGCATGGAGGCAGAGACTTGTAATTCTAGCACTCAGCAATAGAAATAGGAGAACCAGAAGTTCAAGGTCATTTTCAGCTACACTGGAGAGTTGGAGGTTAGCCTGAGCTACCAGAGACATTTACAAACTAAAAATCAACAAAAACATGCCCTCATTTGTAAAACTGGGCACACATGTTTCATATCTTCCTCTTATTATGTGAGACAGATTACTTTGCCTCATTGTAAAGCAATAAATAAACACCAAATCTGAATTAGGAAAAGAGAAAAACTAAATACAGTGACACGGAATTATTCGTTGAGATGTAGATAGAAGTGGAAGGCGGGAGTTTTTATAAAGGAAAGAAACCTGACACAGAAAGCCATGAGGGATGTTCTCACTGGTGAGTTAGTAAAGAATTGACTCAGTAGAATAACGAGTGATCATTAGAGGCTAGAAAGAGGGGAGCATGTGGAAGAGAACAGAACAGTATGCTCCTAAATACAATTAGATGAGCATTGAATTCTAGGGTCCAACAGCACAGTGGGATGACAGCATCTATAACGTATCAATAACAATTTGTTATATGTTTTACATGACCCAGATAGAGAAAACTGATGCTTCCCAGCACAAAACTATGATTAGTGTTTAAGAAAGAAATAATAATCTCCTTGTTTTAATAATCACACATTGTAAAATGTATAGAATTGCATCTACATCCAACAAATTATTATTACTATGTTTCAAATAAAAAAATCAACGTGAAGCGTAAGCGAAGGAAATACAACAAATAAAGTCAAACATTTGTATTATCAAATGCAGCCAATAGCCTTGTCTGAGAAAGAAACACATTCTGTGTCTTAGGGTACACTGAGCCTTGGCACATTAAAGACATAGGGAAATGACCTGTACAACAGACACCCCACCTCAAGGATCAGGAAGGTGTTATTTCTTACAACATAAAGGCTCATTTTGTTCCCTTACATTCTTTTATTCACACTTCTTGGTTCTCCCTGATGATCTTAGAACAAAACCTTCCATTGCTTATGAA